AGTTTTTGTATTTTTAGTAGAGATGGGATTTCACCATGTTGGCCAGGCTAGTCTTGAACTCCTGACCTCAGGTGATCTGCCTGCCTCGGCCTCCCAAAGTACTGGGATTACAAGCATGAGCCACTGCACCCAGCCAGGACTTTCTTTTTAATATAACCCCGTGCCATTATCACACCTGACAAAATCAGCGGTAGTTCCTTTATCTCACCTGAATTCCCACTCCATACCCACATGTCCCCACCACTCCCAACAGTGTCCCATTACAGCTGGTTTGTTCAAATCAGGATCCAAACAGTCCACATGTGGCATTTGGTTGCTATGTCTCTCAAGTCCCTTGGGTTTTATAACAGTACAAAAGGAAGAACGTTTGGAGCTTTTCCTGGGGAGAAAAATTGCTCAGAAAACTGATGGTCCCATAGAAGAAGAATAAAAAAGAGAGCGTATCCATGTCGAGACCTAACTCAGAAAAGTGAGACCAGGCCAAGCAAGGAAAGGGACATTTCTGCCTCCTTCCACTGGCTTGTTCACTGTAGGGGACAGCCTGCAGGCTCACAGCCTTTCTGCAGTTCCCCCTCCCACTTAGGAGGAGGCAGAGACTCAAGCCTCCCACAAGCCCTATGTGCTCCTTTCCTGGGAAAACAGGTGGGTGAAGGCAGAAGAGCCCAGGCTTCAGCCATCAAAACAGCCAGTGAAGGGAAGGGGTGGAGGGGTGCCACCTGTAAAACTCCATTGAGGGAAGGGCAGCGGGGAGGGGTCCTGGGCAGGAGAGAAGTGGGTGTGAGAGTGCCCTTGGTTTCACTGGAGTAAGGGGCTGGAGAGATGGCACAGATGGGGGTTGGAGGTGCAATCTGCTTGCAGTTCCCAAAGGAGGCCTAGTATCTAGAGAAAATCGTTGTGTGTGGGGTGGAGCTGGGGGAGTCGCCTCTTCTGTAAAGCCAGGATTCCTTTTTCATGCCTTAGCAGCAGCTGCTGCTTCCTGCCCCTGCCTGTGGATGTTGGTACCGACCTGGCACACCCCACTGGACTTTTTCAAAGGCATTTGCAGCTGCATAAACAAAACTTGACTATCCCACAGTTTTCTGTCTTTTTGCTTCCCTTTTGGACATTTTTCCAAGACACCAAACACACTCCTAGGAGCCTGGTCAGAATCACCGGGACTCCCTGGTATCACAGATGGACCACAAGGCCGGAAGGCGGGCACTTTCTGTTTGCAGGGAGGGGCGGTCAGGAGAAGGCAGGACACAGTTCCATCTCCCCCTCACACCCTCACTTGAATCAAAAGTATTTGTACCACATTCCCTCTGGGAACAATTTTGCTGCAGAATTTTCACCTCTGCTGCAGAATTTACATGTTTCCAGGCTGAGATGTCAGCATCAGCGTTTAGTGAGGCTCTTAACAACCAGGAAGGCCCATTGATTAGGAAAGGCCAGCCTGACAGATTGATAGCCCCGTGGCTGCCTCCTCAGGGTTGGTGCTGTTGTGTGTAGCTATAAACAGGGCCCTCAAAAGAATTGCATCACCTCCCATTAATAGCCTCTGGGAAGATGATCTCACCTGACATTTTAGCTGGGCCCCTCTGCTCAGTGGCTGGCACTGCTTGACCAGGAGGCGGGTGGGATTCTCATTAACGAGATCCCCCACACCTGCATGTTGACCTTCCAGCCATGGGCTTAGCTCTTCCTCCCCTGGGTGAGGGTGCCAATCAGTAAGTGGACAAAAAGAAATCTCTTCTCCTCCAGAGTCTACTAATCCCATCTCAGCAAACTCTCCTTGAGAGGTGCAAGTGCCCCTGTGAGGGTTATGCTCAAAGATCATTCATGCCCAAGAGAATTGCAGACGTCAGTGAAGTTACAGTTAGAAACGGTTGATGGGTTGGGGAGGGTGCTAAGCACCTTGGAAAGGAATTCTAGGAGCTTGGAGGTATGAGGGAGAGAGGACTAACAAAAAGCAAGCAGTCAGCCCTCCCTACCTGCAAGTTCCACATCCTCAGATTCAATCAACCACAGATCAAAAATGTGCAAAAAGTAAAAAAGATAACGTTACAATAATAAATGTAAATAATACAGTGTGATAACTATTTACATAGCATTTACATCATATTTGCTATTATAAGTAATTTAGAGAAGATTTAAAGCATTAGGGGAGGGTATGTGTAGGTTACATGCAAATACCACACCATTTTCTAATACGGGACTTGAGCATCCATAGATTTTCGTATCTGTGGCAGTCCTAGAACCAACCCTCCAAGGATACTGAAGAGTGAATGTGAATAAATACAGAACAGAATATCAGGTAGCACCACGTGTAATGAAGATTTAGTACTCTAGCATAGTGAGTCATGGGGGCAGTTGGGTTGCTACTTTATATAGGGTGGTCAAGGAAGGCTTCCCTGAGGAGATAACATTTGAGCAAAGACTTGAACAAAGTGACAAAGTGAATATAGGAGGGAGCAAGGGCAAAGACCCGGAGACTTTGGATTCACAGACCAGCAAGTGGACCTGTGTGATGGGAGCCAAATGGACAGGAAGGAGAGAGGTAGAAAATCCGGGTGGAGGGTGCAGGCCTTGAGGGTCTCCATGAGCTCATGGGGATGTATAGAGAGCACGGGGAAGCCACTGGAAGGCTTGGAGAAGGAAAAAGGCAAGGTCTTCAGCACAGATTTGTCACCCTCCACCTACTTTTGTGCCTCCCTTCCAGGGGGGACTAGACCCAGGGCTGGGCTCGCAGGTGCACAGAGTGGGTGGGTGACAGTTAAAGACAGGATCTAGAAGACTGGACATGGCCTGGTGGTTCCTCTGGCAGCCTCGTCCTTTTCTCTTCCCATTCCTTGTCTTTCTCCTTCCCCTCCTGTCTTTCCTTCTGCACTCTTTGGCCCAAAGCACTGTGCTTCAGTTTCGAGGGTGAATAGCCCCTGGTTTCTCATCTCCCATCCACTTCTAGGTGGCATGCACTCCCCGTCCAGCTCCGGGTCACCCCAACCCCTGTCCCTGGACCTCTACATCCTGCTGACTCCTGGGCAGGGCCATGGGGAGCCTTTGTGCCCTGACACCCTTTCAAAGTGGTGTGACTGGGCTGACCAGGTGACCTGGGCCCCTCATCAGTGGGAGTAAGTAGGTCCCAGGTCCTGGGATTTCATTCCAACTTGTCTCTCCAACAGCTCAGGGAAACGACTTAACCGTACAACTATTAAGCACTCACTGTTGTAGGTTCCGGGTAGGGAGGAGAGTTGGGGTTGGGGCACTGACATAGACAGGAAGAAAGTCTGTGCCCTCCAGTCATTTTCCAGGAGTGGGATGAGTCCTCTGCAAGGCTGACTGACAGGTGCTGGACTTAATAAAGGAGCACATGCTTTGTTCATGTCAGGGAGGGAGACATGATTTTCTGAAATTTGTCTTGGAGGAGATCATGTCTGAAATTGGCCTTTGAAATACTTGAAGGCCTTCCAGGGGGATGGGCGGCAGGGGCTGCCATGGGTTGGACCTTCTGCCAGAGGGTGCCAGCTCCAGAGCAGTGTGGCCGGCAGTGTGCACTGGCTTTCTTCTGGTGCCTGATGCCATGATGAAAAATCAAGCATGGAGGTGTGCTCGGAGCATGGTCAGGAGACAAGACCCGCACTTGGGAATCAACAAGCAAGCTCGCTTAGCATTCACCAGATGCCCAATGAGGCATTGCAGCAGGAAGGCTATCAGAGCACAGAGAAAACCAGAGCTGCCCAGGACCTTTGGAATCATTCTGGGCAGTTCATTTTCTTGAGGTCATGGGGGCCTTTGAGATTCAATAAAAGCTATCAATGCTCCTCCAAAGAAATACGTGTCTGTACATACACACTAAATTTTAAAAATTGAGTTATAATTTATATACCATAAAATTCACCATTTTAAAACGTACAATTCAGTGGTTTTTAGTATACTCACAAGGTTGTGTAACTGTTATCACTATCTAATTCCAGAATGTTTACATTACCCCAGGAAGAAATGTCATACCCTTTAGTAGCCATTCCCCGTTCTCCCCTTTCCCTGGCCCCTGGCAGCTACCCATCTGCTTTGTTTCTAAGGATATGTCTGTTCTGGACATTTTATTTAAATTGAATCACACAGCAGGTAGCCTTTTGTGTCTTTTTTCATTTAACATAATGTTTTTAAAGTTCATCCGTGTTGTAAAATGTATTGGACTCAATTTTTTATGAATAGTATTTCTGACTAATATTCCTTTGTATGGATATAGCACATTTTGTTCACAGAACCCCTGAAACCTCTCTTGATTTCAGAAAACCTTATTTTACAAAAGGGGGGAGTTGAAGAGGGAATGGAGAAGGCAGGAAAGCTCACTATAACTTTTTACTATGTATTGAGTGGTGCTGGGCTAAGCACTTTATATATGTGTGATCATATAATTCTTAACCCTGTGACATATTATAATCCCCATATTACAGATGGGGAAACTGAGGCTCAGAGAAACCATCCCAAGCTTCTTGGAGAAGTCAAGATTTAAGCTGAGCTTTGACTGCCAGCCTGTGAAAAGCAACTGCACATCCTGTCACCTCTTGACTTTCATCAAAGCCCTTATTTCCTTCCATTTATTTTTTAATGGAGTATGAATTCCCTATCTACCAACAAGGCATTTGTTTTGCTAAGCCCAGAATCGCCCCAGTGCCCAGAAGGCATCCCAGACTGCCGTAAAATGACCCTCTCCCCAAAGTGATGTGTGACTGAAGCCCCTGCCTCCTGCCGTTCCCCTTCAGGAGCTGCTGAGCCTCCAGCCAAGGCTGTCTGTGTGTCAGGCTGTGGTAATAATAGCTGAGAGGCATCTCCTGAACAGCTGAGACATGTGTAGCTGTTGCCCTGACTGTGATGCTCCCACCGTGTGCCCCGCCTGGTGGGGAGATGCCAGGGTCAAGCCAAGGGCGGTGGGCATGCGGTGGGTGGGGGGTTCTGCGGCGAGGAGGGTGGCCGCTGTCTGAAGCCCAGCAGCAGCTGCCATGCTCTGCTTTGTCTCTCAGCCGGTGGACAACCAGCAAGCCATGGTGCGCAGGGAGTCTGTGGTCAATCTGGAGAATTTCAAGAAGCAGTATGTCCGCAGGCGGTGGAAGGTGTGTCCAGGGCTGGGGTGGCCCGGGGGACCTGGGCGGGGTTTCTGGCTCTCCTGGGTCTCCGTGCACATTCTCACCTGGGCGTTCCTTTCCTCTGCCTCCCTCAGCTCTCCTTCAGCATCGTGTCCCTGTGCAACCACCTCACCCGCTCGCTGATGAAGAAGGTGCACCTGAGGCCAGATGAGGACCTGGTGGGTAAATGCGTGCCCTCTTCTTGGGCAGAATTCTGGGGTAGCCTGGAGCTCAGGGATGAGTGAGTTCCCTTTCCCCTCGCAAGGCAGGTGGGTGTTCACTGTTGCCAGCCAGTTCTGCTGGCCCAGTCCTCCTCTTCCCTGAAGGCTGAAGTATGATCTCAGAGGAATGTGGGGACCTCTGGGTGGTGCCGGGAGGGAAGGGCCGATGCGGCAGCATGAACTCCTGGAGGATCTCCCATCCTTTCCTGGTGGGCCTTCAGAGGGGCCGCTGCTGCCGGCTGACCACAGACAACCTCAAACGTATTTCTGACACAACCCAAAAGCTGCTTTAGAATGGGAGCTTTACATTCTCTTTTCTATATTTCCATTTCTGCTTTGCTTCAGATTACCATCATCATAATATTTAGACAAGATCTTATATTTGATTGCTTTATTGCCATTTTGTATATATTTAAAAGGAGTAGCTGGTAACAGAATATACTGGTGAAGAGGGTGGCCTCTGGAGTCAGACTGCCAGGATTCAAATCTGCCACTTACTGTGTGACCTTGAGGAAATTACTTAACCTCTCTGTGCTGAGATTTCATCATTTGTAAAATAAGGTTAATAATAGTTCCTAAAGGTTAAATAATGACATATTCTTTTTTTTTTTTTTTTTTTTTAAGACAAATTTTCACTCTTCTTGCCCAGGCTGGAGTACAATGGTGCAATCTCGGCTCACCACAACCTCCACCTCCCGGGTTCAAGCAATTTTCCTGCCTCAGCCTCTCGAGTAGCTGGGATTACAGTCATGCGCCACCACACCCAGCTAATTTTGTATTTTTAGTAGAGACAGGGTTTCCCTATGTTGGTCAAGCTGGTCTTGAACTCTCAACTTCAGGTGATCTGCCCAGGTGATCTGCCCACCTTGGCCTCCCAAAGTGCTGGGATTACAGGCATGAGCCACCGTGCCCGGCCAATAATGACATGTTCTTACAGCCTGGTATGTAAGTGCTCAGTAAGTGTTAGCAATTATTGTTGTTGTTTAAAACCCTCCTGTAGGCTGGCCGTAGTGGTTCGTGCCTATAATCCCAGCACTTTGGGTGGCTGAGGCGGGAGGTTCACTTGAGTCCAGGAGTTAAAGACCAGCCTAGGCAACATAGTGAGACCCGGACTCTACAAAACAAAACAGACAAACAAACAAAATTAGCCGGGTATGGCGACACACACCTATAGTCCTAGCTACTCAGGGAGTTGAGGTGGGAGGATCACTTGAGCCCAGGAGTTAAAGGTTACAGTGAATTATGATCACGCCACTGCATTGCAGCCTGGGCAACAGAGCATGGCCCTACCTCTAAAGAAAATTAAATTTAAAAATTAAAAAAATAAAATCCTCCTGTAGACTTTAAAATGCAGTCGGTAGGGGTTCCCCGGACAGCCCTTCCCCCCGCTTACGGAGTGTGGTATAGGGTGCTCAGGAGTGTCTGGGATGCCACAGGTCAGGACAGAAGGGGATGCGTTGCTCAGGGAAGGACTGGGAGGTGGGTGCATAAGAGGGCTGAACAGCCTCATGGTGCACGGCTAGACCCACGACAGCCCTGCTGTCCCCACTCCCTCCACACAGCCTGGGGTATTCTGTCTTCAGCGTGATCTCTTGCCAGCACTTGAGGATTTATGGCCCAGAGGCCCCAAACAACTGTGTGGCTTTGGCCAAGCCTTGTGCCTGCTCTGGCGGCTTTCCTCATCTCCTGTGAAGGGGATTGGACCACTGTCCCTCTGAGAATCCCTGATAATGACAAGCAGACTTCACCCAGCTTATTTTTTTACTGTTTGGCTCTGACTCATGCTAAAAAGTTGCTATTCGGCAGAGCTTGAGTTATTTTTATTGTTATAGCCGGGCTTGGTCTAGGATATTTGGCTAAAGTTGATCTTGACCTTGGATTTCCAGCTGGCTCAGGCTGGAGGAAGGGGAAGAGGCCCTGGGAGGATGAGTGGCAGATGGTGGGTATGCCTCGCAGGCTGAGCCACTGGCCCTGCTTCCCTGACAAATGCGATCTGTGGGGAGAGAGGACCAGAGTAATTGAGAAGAATGCCAATTTTTTTTTTTTTTTTTTGAGACAGAGTCTTACTCTGTCTCCCAGGCTGCAGTGCAGTGGCACCATCTCAGCTCACTGTGACCTCCACCTCCCAGGTTCAAGAGATTCTCCTGCCTTAGCCTCCTGATTAGCTGGGATTACAGGCCTGCACCACCATGCCCGACTAATTTTTGTATTTTTAGTGGAGATGGGGTTTTGCCATGTTGGCCGGGCTGGTCTCGAACCCCTGACCTCAGGTGATCCGCCCACCTCGGCCTCCCAAAATGGTGGGATTACAGGCGTGAGCCACCACGCCGAGCCAAAAAGAATGTCAATTTCTTTCCAAACTTTTGTTCTTGTACAAATATTCTTAAATAGTACTCTTTTTACTCAAACAGCAAGCATCATCAGCTCAAAGTTTCATCCTAGAAGTGGAAAAGGGTTGGGTCCCAGATATCTGTTATACAGTTTTCCCAAAGGGACTTTCCTTTAAAAAAAAAAAGAAGAAGAAGAAAAAAAAAAGGCCAGGCACTGTGGCTCATGCCTGTAATCCCAGCACTTTGGGAGGCCAAGGCGGGTGGATCATGAGGTCAGGAGTTCGAGACCAGCCTGGCCAACATGGTGAAACCCCGTCTTTCCTAAAAATACAAAAATTAGCTGGGTGTGGTGGCACGTGCCTGTAATCCCGGCTACTCAGGAGGCTGAGGCAGGAGAACTGCTTGAACTGGGAGCCGGGAGGCGGAGGTTGCAGTGAGCCAATATCACGCCATTGCACTCCAGCCTAAGCAACAAGAGTGTAACTGTCTCAAAAAAAAAAAGCACTGGAATTGGACATTGGACAACAGATATTTTAGGACTGAAGTCATTGTGGATTAGTACTTCTTTTAATAATTTTAATAATTACATTAGATTATCAAGACTTGGATGAAAAGACATTTTGGCCTCAGGGTGGCTGCCTCAGCTCTGGTTTGCCATGTAGGAGCTGACAGACAGTACTTTAGACTCATTTCCTCTTTTATAAAAATGGAACTCAGAAGTCATTTCCCTGGAAAAACTGCTCGGCAAGGTGGCTAAAGGTGCAGCCCCTCAAAGAAGAAGGGGCATGGGATGGTGGCTGTCGGAGCATGGGGAGGACCCTGTGGCTCATGGCCATCCTCCAGTCTCTCTAGGCCAAGCTCAGGAGACCCAGCAGCCACAGACCACCCAGCCAAGTGGCCTTGATTATGTGGCAGCCTCAAGGGGAACTGGATGTAATTTTCTTTATTATAATTTGGCCTCTCCTGATGTCTGGTTTCCCTTAGATGCCCTGCTGCTTTCCTTCCTCCTGGGAGTGTCCTTCCTCAAAGTAGCTGGTCTAGCCGCATTTCAGATCCCTCCCCTCCCCCAACCCCTGGATGGCGCAACAGGCTTGCTTTCACCACCCACCTCCCTGGCTTGCAGGCCCCTGGCCCAGGTGAATCAACCCAGGTTGCCCAGCACAGCCCCATTCCTGGCATCTCATGATCCTCCTGCCCTGGACCTCTTTCTCTTTGTTTTCTCCAGAGGAACTGTGAGAGTGACACTGAGGAGGACATCGCCAGGAGGAAAGCCCTCCACCCGCGGAGGAGGAGCAGCACCTCCTAACTGGCCTGGCCTGCAGTGGCTGCCAGGGAAGTCTGGGCCCAGCGGCGCTCCCTTCTGTGCAGACTCTTGGACCTAGCTCAGCACCAGCACCCGGGTGTCCTGAGCACTTCGCAAGAGAGGTGGGCCCACAGAATTCAGAAGAGCTTGCAGGCAAGCCAGGAGACCCTGGGAGCTGTGGCTGTCTCCTGTGGAGGAGGCTCCGACTTTCCCAAAGCTCTTAATTCTCCATAAAATGGGCTTTCCTCTGTCTGCCATCCTCAGAGCCTGGGGTAGGGGTGTGGACTTAGGAAAACAATATAAAGGACATCCTCATCATCACGCGGTGAAGGTCAGACTCAGGCAGCCTTCCTCACAGGCTGAGGGGGTTCAGAACCAGCCTGGCCAAAAATTACACCAGGAAGACACAGTCCTCCCCACTGGGAACAGGGTGATTGAGGAAAGTGAACCTTGGGTGTGAGGGACCAATCCTGTGACCTCCCAGAACCACGGAAGCCAGGACGTCAGGCTGACCAACACCTCAGACCTTCTGAAGCAGCCCATTGCTGGCCCGCCATGTTGTAATTTTGCTCATTTTTATTAAACTTCTGGTTTACCTGATGCTCGGCTTCTTTTAGGGCTACTCCCATCTGATTTCCTTTAGCCCGTGTGCCTGTGACTCTGGGGGGGTACCCAGTGGGGTGCTGAGTGGACAGAATCTCAGAAGGTCCTCCTGAACTGTCCCCGCAGGCCTGCAGTGGGCCTGCCTCCTCCTTGCTTCCCTAACAGGAAGGTGTCCAGTTCAAGAGAATCCACCCAGAGACTGGGAGTGGTGGCTCATGCCTGTCATCCCTGCGCTTTGGCAGTCCGAGGCAGGGGAATTGCTTGAGCTCAGGAGTTGGAGACCACCCTGGGCAACATGGCAAAACCCAGTCTCTACAAAAAATACAAAAAATTAGCCAGGTGTAGTGGTAGCACCTGGCATCCCAGCTACTCCAGGGGCTGAGGCAAGAGCATTGCTTAAGCCCAGAAGGTCGAGGCTGCAGTGAGCTGAGATCACACCCCTGCACTCCAGCCTGGGTGACAGAGAGAGACCATATCCAAAAAAAATTTAAAAAAGGGTTGCCAGAGACGAGCATGCCCATGCTCCCTCTACCTCACTGCCACCACTCCTGCTGTTAGGGGCTGAGTGTGTCTCCCTAAAATTCCTATGTTGAAGTCTTAACCCTCGGTACCACAGAGTATCACTGTATTTGGAGATGGGGTCTTTAGAAAGGCACTTAAATTAAAATGAGCTCACTGGTGTGGGCCCCAATGCAATATAGTTGGTGTCCTTATAAGAAGGGGAGGTTAGGACACGCAGGAAAGGCCACACGAAGGCCCAGGAGTGGGAGGGGGAATAGCCATCAACAAACTAAGGAGGGGGGCTCAGAGGAAACCAACCCTGCTGACACCTCAGTCTTAGACTCTGGCCTCAAACATTGTAAAAAAATAAACTTCTGTCTTTTAAGCTACTCGGTCTGTGGTACTTTGTTATGGCAGCCCTAGCAAAATATACACCTGCCAACTACAGCCAAGATGGGGGCAGGAGAATCCCTAACGATGTGGGTGGAGAAGGGCAAAGAAGGATCCACGGGGAGAAGGGAGAGGAGAAAGAGACGGATGACCTGGGCCCTTGGAAATGGCAAGGGAAGCTCACTCAATGGCATCGAAATGTGGGCCCTGTTTCTCAGGCCACAAGAATGGCGTTGCTGAGCAGACTCAAGAGATGATCCATGGAAGTCAGAAATACAGTCAGGGCGAGGCCAGGAGGCTGGGAAAGTACATGGGAAGAGGCTGAAAGAGAAGTTTTAGAAGGTGAGGAAACTGAGCTGAGGAAGTGAGCCAGGAAGGAGAGAGGGGAAAACTATTACTAAAAGGAAAGGGTCCTGGGGAAGGAGGTCCCAGTTCCCTTTGTCAGCAGACAGTGGATGGGTCCAGAGCAAAATGGCCCCACAGGAACAGCAAGGCAACCTAGTTTCACAAAAGTGTCCTGCCAGAGATGGAGTGAGCCCACAAGCTGGTTGCAGAAAGCTTAGCAGCTGACCTGGACTTCTCGAGCTTCCCCAGATCTCAGGTAGAAACAGTCCTGCGCCTCCCTCCACCCTGGAAGGATAGCAGAGGCCAAGAACTGCCGACTGTGGGCAAGGGCCCTGGGCCTGCAAGGGGCTCTTGGCTGTGGTTGGTTACATAAATCAGCAGGGCATGTTCTGGAACAGGGCTCACTGGGAGCTCCTAGGAAGTCAGTTATGGTAATGGGGTGGGGGACTGCCCTCCTGCTAGGAAGGAGAGCAGGGAAGACCTTTGACGAACCCAGTCTTGATCAGAAAGTTAGCCTTTGACAACTTGTCTAGCCCAACCCCTACGTTTCACTGAAGAGGAAACCGATGCCTAGAGAGAGGAAGTGACTAGTGCTTCACGCAACAAATTTGTGAAAAATATCTGATGAAAGCCCAGACTTTCTGGCGCCTAGTAACAGTGCTCATTTCTTCAGCTGATAAACTGCGGTGTACCTTTCAGGAAAGGATGAACCATTCGCTTTGCCTCATTGTTAACGAGTCTCATCTATTCTTGACTGTTGCTTGCCACATCCTTCATTCTTGGAAAAGGAATAAATTGACACACTTGCTTCTACCCATCTTTCACAGTAAAGGACACTGCCCCTGGATGGGGGCATCTCAGCAGCCTACCCCCACAGGTTGCAAGGCAGTCAGGGAACCAGTATTTATTGGGCTCCTGCTGTATGCTTGGCACTGTTCTAGATGCTAGGTTGGAACAGAGCAGGACAGACACAGACCCTGTCCTAAAGGGGTCCACGTTCTCTAAGCCCTGGGAAACCAGGACTCCATCATGCTCATATCTCCTCCTGGCCCTCTTCTCATCCAGGTTATACAAAGCCCTGCTGACTCAGTCCTCTTAGCCCAGCTTTCTCGTGTTGGATGGCACCTGCTGTGTTTCCCAGAAGCCCTTGGGAAGCACAGGGCCAGGCAGTGGGCCGAGGGGGGCCTTTGAGGATGTACAATCCTTTGAGGATGACTTTGAGGACCAGCAGCCAGAAGCCAGGCACCCATGCGCCTCCCAGACAGGGGCCCAGTCCCTGTGGCCTCTCTGCTAGCAGACTGCTGCGGCCGCAGGTGTGAGGATGAGCACCGCGGGGGGCCAGGGCACCACGTGTGTTCTGTTGACTCTGAAGAAGGATGTGTTGACCAGCTGACACTTTCAGGGCTGAAAGAGACCACAGCATCCTCAGAGGCAAATGGAACATTCCAGTGACGAAAGCCATACCAAATGCAATTCTTTCAAGAGGTCTGTAGGGGTCCTGCCCCAGAGTGTGTGCTTACGTGAGTGTTGGATGCTGCATTAATATTTCACAAATATCCATATAAATATTTTAGTGTGTTGCATTTCGATGTCAATCTCACTAGCTTTCCTGACTCCAAATCTTAGATTGCCTTTGCCTTTTCCCTTCGTATATTTATTTGCTGAAAACCTTATTTTGGAAGCAAATGAGAAAAGAGAACTACAACATCTCTCTGAAGGAAAAGTCAGGCCCTGGACTCCACAGACAATCAAAGTAAGTGCATGTGAAAGAACTAACTTGAGGACTCGTATCTCACAGGGAATTTTATCTGGCATAGGATTGGAGAACTTGCCTTCCATCGAGTCCCCAACTTGATTTCATCCTGACATTGTTCGATTCACGGTAGCTGCACCCCCAAGGACAATATCTTCCTCGGTGGTCTGCTGAGAGGATCCCATTCTAAGCAAACATTAATAGGCTTACGGATTGAGCAGCTGAAGATCTGTGAACGATGGTTAATTGACATTTCAAAAAGCAGACACACCATTGGTGAGCTCCCCTTAACAGTTTCTCTCCTCCCGTTTTTCCTCTCCCACTGGTTCTTTTTCTCTCCCCCTTCATCCATTAGCAATTCATAATATATAGCTGAAGTATATATTTTAGTAATTTACTTATTGAATAAAATTCAGGTTCCCAGTTCTTAATCTAAAAAGCAGTTGATTATATTATCTAGGGAGAAATATTTTTTAAAGTATTTTTTTCCTCTATGGATCAGTGATCCACCACCCCCAAGCCAGAGGAAGAGTGAAAGAAAAAAAATGAAGCTCATAATAATTGTTTAAACTCTGCTCTGCAATAGGAACATTTTGCATACATTTCCTTTAGTCCTCGTCCTAGTCTTGTAAGGGAAATGAGAGCCCCATTTATATGATGCAGCTGAGATTCCGCGGAGTGAGGAAATTTGCATACGCAGTCACACAGCTGGAGTACTTAGAATCGGGATTCTAGCCCAGCTTTGCCTGCCCTCAAATCCACATTCTTCTCTACTTTTCCTGGAGTAGTGTTCAATGAAAAAGTAATCCCGGAGAACCATGTACACTATTATACTCTTTTTTTAAAAGCTCACAAACTGTGCCATAAGTTGTTTAGGGATACATGTGAATGTGATAAAATTAATTAATTTTTGAGACACAGTTTCTAGTTGCCCAGGCTGGAGTGCAACGGCGTGATCTCAGCTCACTGCAACCTCCGCCTCCCAGGTTCAAGTGATTCTCCTGCCTTCTACGTGGGATTACAGGTGCCCGCCACCACGCCCAGCTGATTTTGTATTTTCAGTAGAGATGGGGTTTCAGCATGTTAGCCAGGCTGGGCTTGAACTCCTGACCCCAGGTCATCCATCCACCTCGGCCTCCCAAAGTGTTGGGATTACAGGTGTGAGCCACCGCACCTGGCCTAAAATTGAATGTTAAAAGCAAGGGAATGACTACTCTCCAAATTCAGGATGAAACTTACATCTGGGTGGCTGAGATGGGGAGGAGGACAAGGGTGGGCGCTGGGCTGTTGGCAGTGTTCCAGTCAACACTGAGTTCACGGTGGGCTCCTGCAAGTTCTATTTATTAGAATGCTTTCCAACTTACATATTAGCTGTCAGGCCTCTGAGCCCAAGCCAAGCCATCGCATCCCCTGTGACTTGCACATATACGCCCAGATGGCCTGAAGTAACTGAAGAATCACAAAAGAAGTGAAAATGCCTTGCCTCGCCTTAACTGATGGCATTCCACCACAAAAGAAGTGAAAATGGCTGGTCCTTGCCTTAAGCGATGACATTATCTTGTGCCTGACTCCTCCTGGCTCAAAAAGCTCCCCCGCTGAGCACCTTGTGACCCCCACTCCTGCCCACCAGAGAACAACCCCCCTTTGACTGTAATTTTCCTTCACCTACCCAAATCCTATAAAACGGCCCCACCCTTATCTCCCTTTGCTGACTCTCTTTCGGACTCAGCCCGCCTGCACCCAGGTGATTAAAAAGCTTTACTGCTCACACAAAGCCTGTTTGGTGGTCTCTTCACACGGACGCGCATGACATTAGTTGTCTATGCTTTTGCATGTATCAAACATTATGTTAAAGATAAAGGGAGAAAATGAGGTGGAAAAAGTCCATCCTAATGGTCACCAGTTGCCGCAGTGGCCTCTGTTAGGGACAGGACATAGTGCCCTTCCCTGCTGTGTTTTTCCCACATGACTCGATGGCGGGCATTTCTTTGTGTTCTTCTACTGGCACCTAGATCAGAGGTCATCACACCACTCAGTGTGAGAATCCGTGGGCTGGAATTTTTATTTCCCTTCTATTTATTTATTTATTTATTTTATATATATATATATAGAGAGAGAGAGAGAGAGAGAGAGAGATGGAGTCTCGCTCTGTCGCCCAGGCTGGAGTGCAGTGGGGCAATCTCGGCTCACTGCAACTTCCACCTCTCGGGTTCAAGCGATTCTCCTGCCTCAGTCTCCTGAGTAGCTGGGACTACAGGTGCCCGCCACCATGCCCAGCTAATCTTTGTATTTTTAGTAGAGACGGGATTTCACCATGTTGGCCAGGATGGTCTCGATCTCTTGACCTGGTGATCTGCCCGCCTCAGTCTCCCAAGGTGCTGGGACCACAGGTGTGAGCCACAGCGCCTGGCCTTTATTCCCTTTTTAAAGAGACTGGGTAGGAAATGCCCTCTGCCCCCTGCAGCCCTGCCTCCTCAAACATCGCCTCCCCTGGGAGTTTGCTAAGGACGTGGGTCTGAGGACAACTTCCAAGGCCGACGAGGCAGAGTTTGCCAGCTCATGCTCCGGGTGCCTTCATGTCTCTTTGGACTTAAACCCAGAGGCCAGAACAGCGTTTGAAAAGTCAGCTGGGCCATTATCCTGCTCCTAGATGGGATTGCACTTGGGTTTCTTTGTCTCATTTTGGAATTGAGCCAGGGTGATCCTATATCATCCCTCAATTCCCTTCTCCAGTTCTTAATAGTATTGTATTTCACCACTCAGATCCAAAAAGCCTGGGCTACGTCCTGCCACTTTGCAGCTGTTGGAACTTAGCCTTGTCATTCAACCTTTCTGGGCCTCAGTCTTCTAATCTGTGAAATGGTGATATCAGTGTTACTTGTCGTGAATGCCTTGTTGAAA